GATTCCGCGATGGTTTCCACTCCACCAACTACAGTAATGTTATTCCAAGATAATATTCCGCCACCATTACTACCGTAGGTCATGACCGGTTGTTTTGTCGTTTTGTATGCATTATACGTCCAATCTGTACAAAGCCATTCACAGGTTAAATGCAATCTCGATGCATATTTATCATCCTACCATGACATTCCTGCACTTGACGCTTTGCACCACTATGAGACATACGGGAGTGTTTGCGGTGGTCGTTGAAAGTTGGTTGTTCACTTTTCAATTTCACATCAACCGATGTCGACCGACCAAATCGTCAAACGTGGCACCCTCTTCAAGAAAAGCTCGGGCAACGGGTTCTTCAAGCGCTACCATTGGACACCTCGCCATTGCATTCTCACAACCGCCTCACTCAGTTACTACACCCACCAAGGCGGAGCGTGGAAGGGCAGCATTGACCTGACCGAGTGCACGTTGCAGTCGTTGGAAGCGATGCCAGCAGATTGTCCAAAGACTGGGCGATCGGTGGCCACAGGGTGGCGGATAGCCATCCAAACGCCGTCCAAACGGTACTTTATTGCAGCGACTTGTGAACGAGACATGCACGAGTGGCTCCAGGCGTTGAAGGAAGTGGTGCTGGTGAATGAAAAAAGGAGGAGACGCCTTTCGAAGATCACATCGCCACCTCTACTACCATCCTGCCGTGTTAACCTATTCCGGCTCTGGTTTAAGAATATTTAAGAAAGCATTAATTACATGGCGTTGCATGTGTTGCGATTAACTAGTACCGGTAGTAGTATCAGGCAAGATACAGTGTATACTCTAGGTAAACGACGTACAGTACTAACATGTAAGTACTAGTACATTACTATAAATAGAAATGGCTGGGGCATGATCACTGGCACTTGAAACAAGTGAAACTGATATGTTTGCACGTCAAAAATCAAATTTCCTACCCCAAATACTGTACAGTAGCTCGGTCACTGACGCATCACAAACTTTTGGTAACGTTAACATGGATAAAGTAACGAGCTCATGGACGAACCACGGTAACGTGATATTCCGAGTTGGCAATTGATTGCAAGACCGTAGTGGACGAAGTATTATTACTACGTAGTAAAAATACTGCAGTAACAACAACTATTCGTGCAAGGGCAACGTAATCTATCGTAGGAAGGTTGCTTCCTCGCACATTCGTCACATTGTCAGTTCGTATAACCTACTCCGGACTATTACGTCGTAGTAAAACGTACTACGGTAATCTAGGTAGTACTCGGAGTACAGTACAAATTTCGTATTGCGTCAAATCCAAAATGCCTTTACGTTATTCCATAAAACGTACTCTACGTGGCATGCATGTCAAGTGCCAGCTGGCGCCTATGAGTAATTGCGACCGCTATACAAACCGCGATCGTACCGTGTCCAAATGCAATGGATATAATGACTGTGAGTACCTTGCTCATTCTCCAATTCACCATGAACGTCAAATGTGGCACCCTCTTCAAGAAAAGCTCGGGCAACGGGTTCTTCAAGCGCTACCATTGGACACCTCGCCATTGCATTCTCACGACCACCTCACTCAGTTACTACACCCACCAAGGCGGAGCGTGGAAGGGCAGCATTGACCTGACCGAGTGCACGTTGCAGTCGTTGGAAGAGATGCCAGCAGATTGTCCAAAGACTGGGCGATCGGTGGCCACAGGGTGGCGGATAGCCATCCAAACGCCGACCAAACGGTACTTTATTGCAGCGACTTGTGAACGAGACATGCACGAGTGGCTCCAGGCGTTGAAAGTAGTGATCAAGATCAACGAAATGCAGTGGATGAAAACGCCCACCGCTGCCAAGCGCGTCGTTCAGCAGCGGACTACACAGTGTGGGGTCGTGCGTTGAGTTGCGCATCAGCTATTGAAGTAATTTATTCAAAAAGTTCACGTAATAACGCTGACGCTTGGTTACAATAGGATGTACCTTTAAGCATACGTTACTGTGTGTAGCTTGCCCACTGCAGCTCACTTCTCCAGTAATAATACTAGTATTCACGAAGTTGTGAGCCAAAGTGGGATAAACGTCACAGAGCGTTGAACTTACTCCAATGGCCACTTTCACTATCATGATACTTTTG